ACGTTCTCCTCGAATTCTTTCGATCTCGGCCCCGCGGCCACGAATGAAATAATTACGGTCAAAACTCCGCGTAATATATTTCGTAAATAAATAAATAAATAAATAAATAAATCGGGGAGTCGCAACGCGACACATTGTCCCACAGAGGAGAGACAAAGAGGTGGAGAAGAAACGACGAGAGAGGCGATACGAGAGGAGGAATGATAAAGTGGCGGGGGACGAAAGACACGGGCGTAATGTCCCGCAGAAAGCGAACATTGTGCCGCGTAGCAAAAGGGGTAATTCCGTAGTAGGAAGCCTTATTGGAAAAGGGTAGATAAGGGGCGATGGGGGGGAGGGTGGTTTGGGTGGTTTGACGCGAGTACGTGTGAATGGACGTGCAAGCGTGGCGGTGTGCTGGCGAACACACACGAATAAGTGCGGCGGATGCACGCGTGTGTGGGTGGGAATGGGGGTGGCAAGCGGGCGAACACAGGAGGGGGTGCAGGCGGAGAAGGGGTGAGCGGCAGCGTTGAACGGAAATTAAATATGCCTCACTCGATAAGTCAGAGTACCATAGGAGGGCTCCGTATCAACGCCGGGAGATGAGCTATTGTGCTATTTTCGAGCGAAATCTCGGCGAGGCCATCCCCTCGAGTTCTGTCTCTCTGTGTAAAACGCTTTTCGCTTATTCCATCGCAGAAGCGAACGGATATCGGCACGCTCGCTGCTTCCAAACGCGCGGATTCCACGAATATTCTTCTTTTTCTTTTTATTCTTTTTTTTTCCGTTTTTTTTTTTTTTTCTTTTTTTTGATACATTTTTCTTTCTGCTGTTCCCGTTTCGAGGGAACGAGTTTGGAGACAGTGGACCGAATCGTTCAAATGTCATGCAAGATCGAGTTTCAAATTTTCATTATTATCTTCAGTATCGTCGTCATTACGAAACTGAACATTCTTGAAGACCGATGCACAAATCGTGCACTTGAAACGAACGAAATTGTACAACTTGACTTGACTCGAAGCTGATCAATTTGGCTTCAGCGAGGCACGCTACACCGCGAATTTCCGGCAAGCAGGCGAGAATCGATTCTCCTCTCGTGCTTCTGTCGATCGTCGTCGACACGCTATTTCTTCTTCCATTTTCTTTCCTTTTTTTCTTTTTCGCTCTTCCTGTTCCTAGTTTTAATTAACGAGGACGAAGAGGGGCGGGAGTATCGGCGATTTATTGGACGATCGTTTCATTCCCGAGAAATAACGAGAGGAAGAAAGAAGTTAATTTAACCGGACGGTAAAAGCCGGCGATGCGAGCGGAATAATTATATCAGATTTATTATCAAACTCAACGTACAACCGCGCGAACCCTTAGATAATAGGCTTTTTACGACTCGGTCGCACGAACTACCCGATTCGAAAGTTACGATACTGTTAAAGCTCTCTTTACGAGGCCATTACCGCGAGCTGTTACTCATATTTCTTTTTTTTTTTTTTCTTTCTCCTCCCCCTTCCTCCACGAACGAGTCGAGAGACACTTCCAGGAATAATACGATCGCGAGATCACTGAAATTCCTGATCCAATCAGAATTAAATACGTAACGTAAACTCCACCTACATTCTTTCTTCAAGTCGGTGACCCATAAAGAGATAAAGATTTTCACGAGTGATCCCTTCGGGGGGGGATCACGAGCGATTAAGCTCGTAACGTCGTCAAAGTAATTCACGAAGGAACAGCGTGAAAATGTGTCGTCGCTTTGTATTCGACGGAGTGTATCACACTGTCCGAATCGCGACGGGGCTTTTGAGACGAGGAAAACGACGCCCCGGAGAATCTATTTTACAGAAACGCGTGTAACGCCAGCACGACCGGGATCGTTTGTGCACCCGGGGACACTCCCGAATATAAACGTTCACTCGAGCTGCGAGAATCGATGCTCTCGAGAGATCATAACCGCGGTCGGAGTGTCCCATTCACGCTGAAAAACTCTCCTGAATGAATTCGCCCCGTGAAATCCCGGACAAAGCACCGGGTTCGTTCGAACATCTTCATCGCCGGGATGATTTTCGAGAAAAAAAAATTCACTGCTCGTTGAATGGAACGGACGTTCACGCTAGAAGTGGCATCGAATTGTTGCTCGTTCTTGCGGCAATGGTTAATGAAGTCGTCGGTGAAAAGCGACAGGAGGATCGCGCGTCGTAGCTTCTCAATACACTCTGAGACGCCATTAACTCTTTCTTTCTGAAAGAAAACGCGAGATCTTGCCGGGCGGATCTCTTGGCAGAAGATGTACTCGCAGAAATCATTACGAAGCCACTCTGCTCCGAGATAGCGCGATATTTGTCAAAGGTTTCATTTCTTTTCAAATTTCAAATGTTGACGTTTTTGACGTTAACTGCTCAAAATGGTGTAACACTGATGTCGAAGAAGGAGAACAGATGTGAATGAGGAATGTCTCCATTGACATCGTGCAGAGTGGAGGATTGGCAAGGTACAAAGGATCTTCGAGTACAAAGAAAAGATTTGGTGTGTTGATGCTATTAACTTCCTCGAGTTAGCCTGACAAAGCAATTAGTCTTCTTGAAGAAAATACCTCGAGGTTACAGAATATCCTTAAAAATCCTTAGTCATCCGATACTTAACCTCTTCGGTACGAAACAATCTTGCAGTGTCGCTTCATGATCCGTGACAAATGAAATATGAGAGGTGTAATATAATTTCTTGCAACACGTGTTTTATAACGAAGTACTACGAATCTGTATAATATATGTAAGAATATGTAAAAGGAACAATTTTTCTGATACAATTACTTTTCTTCCATTATATTAATAGTTCTTTTATATATTGGAACAATTATATTCTAATGTATATAATGCATTTATTTTAATGCTTATATTTAATAATTACGTGTTCGTTATTCAATAATTACATTCTAACACGTACATTCCCAATAATAATAGCTTTCGTATCGCAGTATGAAAGTTAAATTGCAAAATATTTTTGTATCTTCGACTGAACCTCGAAAGTCATTTCCTCTTATAAGTATAAAATATTGAAGTTCAGTCGAATTTACAAAAAGTATAATATCTTGTACTTTAATTCTCATACTGTGATATCAAAAGAGAGCTATTATTATTAGAACTTCTTTGATCGTTTCAGCGTTAGATCCTAGCCCTGTTACAAATATTACTTCTACGCAATTTCATCGAGAAATCTTTCCTTCGTCGGAATGCCGACGCTGTGAAGAAAAGAAATGTTCCTGGCAGTAGCCAGCGGAACCAAGTAAAACTAATCGACTCGGAAAAAATCATCGGTCGAGCTGCAGGTTTCTCTCCACCCCTGGAGAAATATTATCGAAACATTACCCGAGGACGGTGCCCATAATGCGGTCATTAGGATCGAAGTCGTGACAGGCACTCGATCGGGCCGAAGGCGGCGGAAAGTCGAGGAAGCGAAAAATGAAACAGCCTCACGGGCCAGTGAGCCGAAGCTTTCTCTCTCTCTCTCTCTCTCTCTCTCTCTCTCTCTCTCTCTCTCTCTCTCTCTCTCTCTCTCTCTCTCTCTCTCTCTCACTCACTCTCTTTGGCCGTTTATAAATCCGACATAATGCGACCCGAACGAGATTATTTCACGATTTATCACCTCGGGCTCGCTGAATGCGTAGGGTGGTCTATTAGGTATCGGGAGGGTGGCCAGCAAGATGGCGGCCGAGGCTGGCGAACAATTGCGTTTCGGACCGATGACAAATGACGCGGGAACCGTCTGCCCGTCTCTCTGACTTACGACTTTTCCTTTGTGCGCGGCTTCCAATACCGATACCGCGAGACCGACTCAGGTGTTTTCTTTCTCAGCGTTGAATTTTTCACGCGACACCGATCGATCTCTCAGCTCTCTCTAAATTCCTAAAAAAAAAAAAAAAAAAAAAAAAAAAACGTCTCTGCGTCTTCCCTTCGTTGGAAATTTAGAATATATTCTTACTCGAGTGAATATACGCTGAATTCTTTTAACTTGAAAGTGTAACTTGAAAGTTACGTGTCCGTACGTACACACTTTGAAAAGCTTATTTCGTCTGAATTTTCGTGATTTATTTGTGACAATTTACTGACAATTCTCGTCAGATTTTATAAAACTGGGGCAGATAGCAGTAATTAACTAATTAATTTTTAATACTTTTAATCTTTCCGTACGATCTGCAAGTTCACAGATTACTTTCTGCGGAATGGAAATTTACAATATAATCAACCTACTCGAGTTAATTTCCCAGTTTGATTTCAACACGAATTTCAATGCTAAAGAAGCCTCTGTTTCGGCGTATCGTATCAACATCGATGAACTCCCACTAATTTCCACGCAAAGTATTATTGTAATTGATTAATTTCGTGAAACGAGGTAACAATGGGTCTTGCTTTTAAATGCAAATACGAAGAAAAAGGAAGAAGAGAGTGAACGCAGTTTTTTCGTTTATTATCCACGTGTTTCTCGACGGAACAAACAAACATCGCAGTAAAATGGCAGTTGATTAAAGGTGAATCATCCGAGGAAAATAAATCGTCGAGGAAAATACATAACGAGCGATCACGATCGTAACGTAACACTTCCGGCGATTGTGTGAACCGACTCGTTGAATCGATTAGAATAACAATATGAAGAAAATAATTGGAATACAATCACTTAACCAGCGGCCGAAGATCAATGCCTCGATGGAATCGGGACAGGCATTGACACTCGTGTGTCAACGGTCAAAAGGACGCAGCCGCCATTAAGTCGGGGAGGAGGGGAAATTATGTGCTGTTGTGTCGTTCGCTTGGTAATCAAGTCGAGCTGATTATTCGGTCAAATTAATCGAAACGAAACTATCGTTAAAATCGGGAGCATCTTTTCCGCTGAGGGCTGAATCATGAAACTACTGTAACTCGCGCTACAGGATCGTTCAGTGTCACGCAAAACGATCTATCCTCATACATATTGCAACGAATCTCAGGGAAGCCAATCCAGAATAACGAGCGTAAGAAGAGGTATATACTCACCAGTATTGTCGGCCATAATAGAAATCCGGCCAACATCCCCGAACTTAGCTCCCAATCGTGGTCGCAGAAAAAAATTCACGTTGAATCGAATTTGCCGTGGTTGTGTCGACAGTGGTCGCACGATCGGTCGGCAAGATGGACGAGCTCGCCTCTCGTTCTTCTTCTTCTTCTTCTTCTTCTTCTTCTTCTTCTTCATCCCCCGTTCGTCGAAACGGAGCAGCGTATCGAATCGAACGTAAAGGAGGAGGAGGAGGAGAAGGAGAAGGAGGAGAAATCGAGAAAGAGAGAGAAGAATCGAAGGGGCGGAGGGGAGGATGAAGAACAAACGCGAGGGCGAAAAAAAGAAAGATTACGAGGGAAGAGTTGGAAGTGGATAGACGATATCGTGTGGCGTTCGCTCGAAAACGAGAACTGCCAACGAGTGAACACGAGCCAGGTGCAAAGTGACTCTGGTAGAGTTCTCTGAAGACGGAGGAAGAGCGTTGCCCCGCGCGGCTTGCCCGAGCAGGAAGGAGAGAACGGCGAACAGAGTCCTCGTATGTCGGCCAGAAGTTTCTCGGAACACAATCGCATATAATACATATGCAATAGTCCTGCGAGAGTCCGCTGGACAGTCGGCCCCCGAACGTCCCGAACGGGTGTCCAGAATAGACACCGAAGCTGGACATCGTTGGATCGTGCAACATGGCCGCCGGTGAGGCGAGCCCCGCTCGATAATTGAAGGGCAGCCCCCTCCCCCTCCACCCTCGAATCCCTTTCCACCTCCTTGTTCCGGCACTGTTCTCTTTTTGTCGACCGCACAGCGCAGACCATCCAACTTTCTCCCCCTTTTCTCTCTTTCTCTTCTTTTCAATCCGCGCGATCTCTCGTCTCGCCGTGGGCGCAGAGTTATGAGTCGCGCAGGGATAATGTCGCTTGTTATTAAGACCCCTATCGACGTTTCCTAATCTACGGTCAACAGGGGGACCACCGCAGGCCATCGGCCGGCTAATTAAGATCGCCGGGCCTTGACGAGCACGTTGCGCACTAATTGAACACTCGCGGAATCCATCGCGACGTTCCGCGTACTCCTCCTCGGATCAACCACCGCACACTGACTGAGAACGTAATTCTGTTTTCTTTTCGTTCGTGGAAACCGTTTGGAAGACGCGAGGTTTCTGTTTTCTTCGGGAACTAATCGCGCACGTTGGTCGTTTCTTTTTTTTCTTTTGTTTGAGCTACAGCGCAGATCTAGCGCTTGTGTATACTGTGTTGTTCCTTCATCCAACAAGGGACAACGAGAGCACAGCGCTGTATTTTCTTGTCTCTGTATTATCATCCTCGAGCGTGGATGTACATACGTGTTGAATGTTATTACCGAAGAGACACGCAATTTCTCAGAAACAGAAATACAAAAACATGAAAATGTAAATATTGTCCCGCGAAAACGGACAAGCTGGAATATTTGCGCTCCTCAGTCGTACAGAAATTATCGAGAGCGAAATACAATCAGCCTAGTGTGTATATTAACGTAATAAATTTGTAAAAATGTGTCGCGCGAGAAAGTCAAGTCCAGCTGAAGTACACGCGAAAGTATATGTTGACACGACTGACGAACAAATTGACACGTGTGCGACGCGAATACGTACATTTTCCAACGTGCACACCGAAAAGCGAAAGCGGCAAGACAATACTTATCTATGCAAAGAAAAAAAATACGTGTTTTAGAATAGCCAGCCAAGTCTCCGGACTTGAATAAACATTATAGAAAATTGTTGAATTTGCAAGACAATTCGCAAATATGAATGAATTTAAAAAAAATATATCGTAGAAGAGCGAGAAGAACTAGATCAAAAAAAAAAAAAAAATCACTGAAACTCAATATATAAATCTTTGCCTCAAACAATGGCTGCCGTTATTAAATACTAATTGTAATACTAATATTAAACAATTATCGAACTTGTTTCTATCCATTGTTTTCGCTGCTGAAATATTACCATATATGTATCTATTTTCTTCTTGTCAATAACAAAAGAATTAGTATTGCAAAAAGTTTAATCTATGTTAATACATATTAATAGAAGCCTATTAAAAGAAAGATTTTATACCATTTGTTTGATAAAAAAGATAAAAATTAATAACTTGCAGAGTGCCCCGCGTGGGGTGTATTGTATCCATGCATTCGAAAATTGACGAAAGACTCGTAGAACGAAAG